ATATCGCACCAAATCGTGTCTCCCGTTGTATAGGAAGTGATCTCTTGACTCGTATTGTGTTATCGCTATCACCACCGGACTCGTGAGGAATGGGCAACATATTCGCCAATCTGTTCAAAGGCCTCTTTGGCAAGAAGGAGATGCGGATCCTTATGGTGGGTCTGGACGCCGCCGGAAAGACCACAATCTTATATAAACTGAAATTAGGCGAAATCGTCACCACTATCCCCACCATCGGTACGTCACGAACACCGCTGTCCATCGCTTACCACTCATTCACACAATGACTCTCATTGTCTACACCTCTGTTTCCATCTATTACCCCCACATTGTCTATGTTAACCACTTACCCATTCACTTACACCCCTGTCTACCACTCACCCATTCATGGACACCCTATACCTATCTGTTAGGACAATTTTGTTAACATATCATTGCTTACCATTCATTGACGATAACTCGGATTATCTTAATTTCCGTCTCCCACTAACCACTTACTCATTGCCCATGTGTTGCATCACCTCTAGCTGTCTGTCCATTGCCTACCACTCGCTAATTGATTGTCTCTCTCCTCAGGGTTTAATGTGGAGACCGTTGAGTATAAGAACATCTCATTCACGGTGTGGGACGTCGGCGGTCAGGACAAGATCCGACCCCTTTGGAGGCATTACTTCCAGAACACGCAGTATTGTCTCTCTCCTCAGGGTTTAATGTGGAGACCGTTGAGTATAAGAACATCTCATTCACGGTGTGGGACGTCGGCGGTCAGGACAAGATCCGACCCCTTTGGAGGCATTACTTCCAGAACACGCAGGGATTGATATTCGTTGTCGACTCCAACGATAGGGAGCGTATCGGCGAAGCCCGCGAAGAGTTGATGCGAATGTTGGCGGAGGACGAGCTCCGGGATGCGGTGCTTCTCATATTTGCAAACAAACAGGTGTGTAATCTTTGGGAGGGGGGGGGAGTGGTACTCAGCGATGACAAGCGCCGCACCTGTTATTGCAGTTGTGGTGGCAATCGCTGACATACTCTCTCACCTCATAAGGCATTGATGTGTTGAACGGATTGACTGATGTGTTTGTATTGTATTTGTTATGTTATGGTATGGGATGACAGGACTTGCCGAACGCCATGAACGCGGCTGAGATCACCGACAAGTTAGGGCTGCACTCCCTGCGCAACAGGAACTGGTACATCCAGGCCACGTGCGCCACTTCCGGCGATGGCCTGTACGAGGGTCTCGATTGGCTCTCCAATCAACTTAAGAATCAAAAATAACTTTTTTAAACCAATTATTTACTTCGAGACACATATTGTTTTTTTCTGTGAAATTAGTTTCTTTGAAAATATTAATATCAAACTTAAGACCAATCGGACGATATAAGTGACACTCCATTATAAACTAATTAAATAATTACCGCGCTTTCGATATATGATTGGATTTTCTTGTTTTAATTATCTGTTTTTTCTCTGCGCTCTTATTATCTATTCATGTCTTCTCTAAATATATATATATATAAACAAAACGTCTGTTTTTATAATTAAATTCTGATTAAAAACCGAAAACCATTTGATTTTTTAAGCGAACGAGTGTTTTGTTATGTATTTCTCTATCTATCCTCACGTGTAATGGGATTTGTATTGTAAGATAAGACGAGTAAAATTAGGATTTTATTGTTATTTTCAGTTTAAAAAGCAACACTTTTTTAAAGATTAACTAATTTTACTTTTAATTTAGTGTTTATTATTATTTTTTTGCTTTATATATATTTCTCAGCGTTTCAAATGAATTAACAAAAAACGATGTGTAATTTAATTTGCATAAAACATTTATTATTATAACATTTATTTAATAAACTATTTATTTAATTATATATTTATAAATTATATATAATAACATACATTTTTATAAAACATTTTCTCAAACCGTCGAAACAAGTCTCTAAAAATACATCTAAAAATAAATGAACCAAAAATATAGTATAGACTTTATTTTCTCAATAAACGCCTCGAACATTGAATTCATAAATTTATTATGTTTTTAGTTTCTATCGTTTTTTACCCTAAAATTAATAACATTTTCAATAATTACTATGTTTTGCACTCATGTAATGAATTATTAGCACAAAATAATTGCATTTCGTATATCCATATGATATGAAATTTCGTTTGATAGGAAAAAACGTTTGTTTGAATTGTTCCCAAAACAAATGCAAAGGGTTTTTAGTGTTGACTATAACTGTATATTTGTTTTTGACGGAAAACTTGGCTTTTGTTTGTCTACTTTGTTTGCAATCATGAGAGAGAGAGAGAGAGAGAGATCCACTCCTTAGATAATACCCAATATTTTGAAAACTCCTAATGAATATTATATGACACAAACTATCGATACCTAGAAAATAGTGTGCTATTATCGACCGCACCGGTAGTGATACTTGCGGTGCTGAGAGTGGGTCTGATAATCAAAATTTAATGGAATAGTAAACTAATTACTGTCGCGTCCTCTCAGGAGAGAAGTCGCGAGTTTTTTTGGTTCACAAATCATGTGTTTTAGTGTTTCATTCTTATCAATAAAAAGGGCCGGAATTTGCTGTAAAAAGTAATAATAAAACTTTGAGACAGAGATTGAACTGTCAGGTAATGGACACGACTTCTAAGTTTTAGATCAATATTTGCTTTACCGCTAATAAATGGACTAAAATTAAGTCACTTTTTTCGCCTATACTATAAACATGTCTTATGTTTTATTGCGCTACAAAGTTGTCGACAAATTGTCATCAATCGTTGCAAACAGAAAGCCTCTACAAAAATACTAAACACTAACACCTAAGACCTGATACTACATTACTATTATTAGTTGGTCAGAGCACTGGTATGTTTGTTGGCCGTACATCACATCCCTAATGGATAGAGAGAAAGAGCTAGAAAATCAACTCCTGGCACTTGCATCGCACCCATACTTCCATATAAATTATGCGCTAATTATTGGAAAGAATTGATATACAAATTAATCACCAATTCTTGTGATGCATTTCGTGTCAAAACTCATTTTGAGACTTAAGTTATGCACAGAATAAAAATGAGAGGAAAAAATAAATTAAAATATGAATTAATTTCTGGCGAGAGATAGAGGCAGCGATTCTGTGGATATTCTGTTAGGGATTCCGTGTGAGAGGGTCTCAGAAGTGGGTGAAGGCGTTGGAGGCGCAGCCCTTGAATGAGTTGTCCCTAAAACAGGTCACTTTGAACGTGTGTCCGGCCTGTTGTGCGCTGACCTGTTGGGAGGGGAGGCCGCGGAAGGATGAGGTGACAAAGAGTTCGTTCATTTCGATGCCCCCAAAACAGGCCGACGTAACCATATTAGCGTTCAAATCGATTTTGTTAATCACTTTGCCTGCGAAACAACCCAAACGTACACACATTTCATTGAATATATACCGCATAATGAATGCATTTTTCTCATTAATACCACAAAAATAATTGTGTTATCGATTTGAATATTCATTATATTATGTAAAACTCGTGGAATCGTATCGAAACAACAGAGAAAACAATAAAACAAAAGTCAAACCTGTGTTGCAATCGATATTCAAAATCTTGCCGCCATAGTAGACCACTAGCCATAGGTTGCCCCTGACATCGGTGGTGATGCCATAAGGGATTTCCGTGCCTTTGAAACTGAAATCGCTGTTTGAACTGAAGAATACCTTTTTATTGCCTGACAAACGGAGACAATCGTCGCGATGAAAGAGTCAATAAAAAAGTTTATCACATATTTACAAATCAATTAAATTGTATCGCATTATATTGATATAAGCTATACCTATATTCCCCGATTCCGTGTCGAAATCGAAACAATTAATAATTCTCTCCATAGTATCGACGGCGAAGACCTTGCGGTTATCGGACGACCACGTAATGCCATTAGGAATTGATAATCCGCTAAACTTTGTCACGAGATTACCGGCGCTGAATTCGTACAGATTACCCGCTCCCCTAACCATAGTTACTGGATTACCCGGCTCACCTAATATTCACCAATAAAAAACACTTTAATTCATTCATATCCCGTGCTCTCGATATATTACACCACAAAAACACATTACGTTTTCCACTAAAATAGTCTTTACTAAACATTTTGATGGCATTTCTATTAATACTTCAAAAAACAAAACCTTAATATAAAACTACTCAACGATTCATTAAAACGAAAAGCAAATTGTGAGCGCAAATTGATTCACTCACGCATTCACTCAGAAAATTACTGTACTTTTATTACACACAAAACACATTCAATAATAAGCCGTACAATACCTGTGAACGAGCCGACCCATAGCCGACCCCCGGAATCGCACTTTCCGTTATTAAAATAGGATCCGCTCTCGATGTCCGCCAACTTTAGTATATCTCCCGACGCCGGCGAGTATTTGGCGATAGAGTTGCCTAACGTGATGAGGAACTCGGGCTCGGACTGGTCGTTGGCCGTCACCGGTATAGCCATTGTGGTCATCGGTGTGGACCGGTTTGTGGCCGACATTATAGTAAAACGATCGCATTTACCGCTTTCCGGGTCTATTTGATGGATACATTTGGCGAAACAGTCCACATATGAGAGCCGTTGTCGCGATTCGTCCCAATGAGGACTTTCGCCCCAATCGACCGGTTCCTCAGACACGGGTTGGACGTGAAATGAAGACATCTATCGCTTAGGAGACACTCGCGAGTGAGAGACACGAGTTGTGAGTGGAGTCGCGATATAGTGATATCGGCACACAATTTATTACTTCACAGAATATTCTGTTTGTTGTTTCCAAGTATACAACAGAATATTCTCTCATAAAAATGACTCCAAATAAGCGACTACTATATGAACACAATTTGGGAGCATTTGTCGAAATGAATGGCTAAAAGGATTTCGATTATAAAAAACTGGGAGAAAAATATTTGCAATAATTGATTGGTTTCAGTGCTCAGGCCTTTCGTCACATATTATACTGTATATTGAATGTGAGGCCAAACACCACACATACAGTCAGTCGGTTAAGAGAGGGAGGAATGGGAGTCAACAGCGAGTGTGAGAGATATCAACAGAAAAAGCGAGTTTCGCTCCACTTTTATGTTGGGTTTTCAGATGATATCGATTTTAAGTGTGACGTGAATTCGAGTTCATTCGGAATTCATTGACAAACCAGCCATACATACACTGCCACAGCGCTGGTAGTATCGCATGGATTGGCATCTATTGTGAACGCGTCTTATTATTGGGACCCGACTTCTCCTACTGTAAGCAATACTCAGCACAAGATTCAACACAAAAAAAGTTTTTGTTTTATTTCACAGAATTTTTCATAATTTTTTGAATACAGAGATACAGAGTGTCAGAGAATAATCTCCCCATAAAAGTGACTCAAAAAGCGTATTGTATTTGTATTAAGCGATTAAAACATTTGTATTAAGTGTTGGGAACAAAAAAAGTAAATGTAATTCAATAATATTAGAGTGAAAACCAAAAAAATGTAATAAATCTTTAGGACGAGTACGGGTTAGTAGTAAATATAGTAGAATCCTGGGTCCTATTGTCCTAATTATTGTTCATTTATATCCGTTTTGCTGTCGTGTGTAATAGTATTTCGTAATATAATAGTTAACTCAAAATTGTCTGCAATTGGATTCAATTGATTCCGACCGACAGGTGCCGACAGACGTAACGTAAAAGCGATTCATTTAAATGAGTTCAATGTAACTGTAATTAATTAATTGTATTTAAACTGTATATGTGTTTCCGATTTATAATGTGTAGGTATACCAGTACTGTATGTCTGTATACAACAAGTTTCTGTATTTAACAGTAAATCCTCATCAACTGTATTTGTGTTTATATATAAATTATAACTTATATAATAATATAATATAATAAAATCGCAACTTTTATCATACAATCATATAATTGGATCAAATGATTGGATAATTAATGAAATAGTTGTCTAATCAATAAATTAATTAGTTTTTTGTACTTAGGCTGCGATTCTCTCTCTTTCTCACATCACTCTCTGACATAAATATATATTTTATATTTCGTTATTTGTTTCGTAGCGTTGGCTCAATAGACTTGTCTCACAAATCACTGGATTTAAGAGTCGGGTGATAGAGTAGTTTGTGTCACGTTTTCATAAATAAAATATTCATTTCGTAGTTAAAAATCGTATTCAATGGCAGTTATCATACAAAGAATGCGGTATTGCTTTCCATACATATATGACAAGTTATATCCATTATTTGACAACAACTGCCGGCCCTAACGTCCCGTCGCTCGTCCTTACAATCACTTATTTATTATTATTATTATTATTATTAAATCGTTTCAATAGTCTTATTATATAGTCTTAACAGTCATTTCAAATATAATTAATTTTATATAAACTTTGTTTCAATTTGTTTAACGTCTTTAGAAATTGTTTCATTTAAATATTAGTTTATATTTTGAGCAAACATTTGTCAATATATTTATATATTCTTCGGGATTCAAAGAATATTCTTTAATATAATATATATATATTCTATGCGTTTACTAATACGTTTGTCTTAGTCTTACGGGTGGTGTTATTGTTGCTGTAATTCTGGAGATTGAGACTCAGGAGGAAGTGGTGGCGATTCGGATGATTCGCGTGGCTTTGATTCGTCGGTCGGCGGCGCCGGCGACTCAGACGCCTCGCCCACCGGCGACGACGGCTGTTGGTGGTGATGGTTGGCGGCCGGCGTCGGCGACGTACGCGGCTGTGGTGTAGTGGCAGTGGGCGCCGGCTGTTGCGCTCGACTACCGCCGCTATCGCGCGATGATTTCGTAGGCTTTCCTACCGTTGAAGGCACTGTTGTTCGGCTGACGAGCGCTCGGATCTGTCGCTGAGCCGCTTGCGTACTGAGAAAGTCGCCGATTATGTGGACAGGGGTTTCTTCGGGCGGCAGACCATCGCCACCACCGCCGGAGCTCTCCTCTGGAAGTTTGATTGTGGCTCTGGTATTGCGCTGCATATCGCGCACTACTTGGCCGCCCTTCCCGATGATACGGCCCACTTGTGACGAGGGTATCATTATCTCCACCTTCAGCCTCGGCTCCTGTGAGAGGGCGTCGGGCGATGAGGCGACAAACCCCTCGACCGACACTTTGCGGTATATCATGAACTGGGCCTTCCATTGGGACTCCGGGTTACCAACGATTGTAACCCTTCTCTCGTGAGGCGTTCGCTCGCCAGAGGCTGCGAGTGCGGCGCTCTCCTCTTTGCTCGGCTGAGCCACCTGTCCATCGGAGGAGAGGGTATAGGCGTTAGTCAACTCACCAGTAAACACATGGCACGGAACCATACCTTAATGTTAGCACCGGACGAGCTGATCATATCCCTTATAGTGGTGCCTCCCGTGCCAATGATGGCGCCGACCGCCGAGTTGGGTATGTAGAGGAACACCGTCTCCTTGGTCTGGTCGCCCCCTTGAATGGCTTGGAAGCCGGCAGTGAGCGTAGCGGCGGCCGATGGGTGGAGCCCAGAGCCGGGCCCTCCACCGGCTGGCGAGTACAGCAACGGAGGCACACCGTATGCGGACGTATTATAGATGCCAAACGGGTGGGCGTTGGGACCGCCAGCCCCACCGCGACCCGAAGGCCCGGCTAATGGGTAGTTGGGCTGTGGGCCCAGCGTCGACATCATGGCCATGGGGTGCAGTCCGGGAAACATGACGGCCTGCGGGGCGATCACCTGGAGGTCCGACTCGTACGACTGGCGCAGTCGTTGGCTGATCATCGACTCGGCTCTGCAAATGTTTTCCAGCGATCCCTTGATTGTGATAATGCGCTCCAAATTGAAACTATTGGCGTCGTGTATACTGCTGTTGGGTATAGTATAGTGTAGTCGTCCGGTGCACACATAGGGGGCGGACAGACCGCCATACGAGTGGTAATAAACAGGCAATTATTAGTCAATTGGTTGGGCTTTTATTAATCGATAGCATACTTATGAGGGATGGCATCAAATTATAAAGTAATATAAGTAATAAGAGAAATATAATTAAATCCTATTTTTTAAAAATTATTTTCATTTTAAATTTAGTAAATTATATTCAAATATAATATAACTTTATTTCTGTTTTAATTATTACTGTATTTACCTGTATTTCTAGTACAGACTATTTCACAGTTTGTATTCACAAATTCATATCACCTTCTTATGCATATAAATATATAAATTCATATTTTATATATATTACACATAATTGAGTCTAATTAGTGTACATCTAATGTAAAAATAGTTTTAAACATAGTCTCGGGTTTTATTATGATAATAATTAAAATCTTAAAATAAAAATCTTATTTATCATTTATAAGGTGCAAAAAATGTCCAAAAAATTCATTAATAAAAAAGCGATAATTTCTATCAAATTCATAGCTAATATGTTTGCGCAAAAACACCGTGTGTATCATATTTCTGGCACTAATTAAATCAAATATTGTCTTCAAAAATACCACAAAACAAACTAAATTACACTCAAACACTCCCTCAAAAATATACAATTAACGGACAATTTGCAAAATGGATTGCATACCTGGACACAGTAATCTTGGTATCCGTTTGCTCCATGATCCTTTTAATGGTATTACCACTCTTTCCGATGATACGGCCGATGAGGTTATTGTGGGCCAGAATCTTGAGCGGAATCTCTCCGCGATTCGTGTTATTGGCCTCCGTTTGCATCACTTCCAGAATCTTGAGACAGGCCTCCGAACAGTTCTCCGGGTTTCCGTAGATTGTGATCACCTTCTCGAGAGCGCCGGCATTGTCTTTGCGGTGTACGTCCACCCGGGCCCTCGTCTGCTGTGTTATCTGTCTGATGGTACCGCCCGAGCGACCGATTATGGCGCCCACCATATCGCTAAGCACTAGGATTCTGCACACATCACAGAATATTCGCGTACAGAATATATATATAAAACCACAGAATTAGCCACAAGAATCACATTTTTGTCATTAAATTCTACTTAAAATAACCCAATAATTAGATATAAAGTCGATTGCAACCCGATTCTCGTTATAGTGCACCGGAATGTACACTATTGGCATCAATTCTTATCTCAATATACCGTTCAATGCAACTAATGCCAGAATTTTGCGTTAAACATGGAGTTAAGAATAAATACAATATATATATATTGGAAACGAGTGCTTAAACTCATCGCAAATCACACGAATATTCTTGAATACCGTCACTACAACTAAACTACACCTGAATAATGTACTAATTATAATGCAATAAAACAAAAAGGCGAGCGATTAATGGGAAATAACTGCACTTTTGAGACGCTATTCTTTTGTGACATCCATTTCCCAAAATATCTAAAAACCATTTCACATAAAACTAAACGGCGAGAAAAAAATCGCACAAAAATTATTTCCGCACAACGAAAGCAATCATAAGATTTTTGCGAACGAATAAAAAAGGGATCAAAAATTCTTTTGCAAACACAACGACTAATATTTAAAAATTAAACTCAAAAGTGATCTCAAAAACAAAATTGAATGCAATTCTCGTGGCAAACGTGAAAAGCTTATCATAAAAGCTACGGACAAACAGCGAATCAAAGGGTTGATCACCAGAACTGATCGCCAGAATTGGCGTCAGAATTAGCGCAAGAATTTTGGGACCAAAAGAGTAAAAACTAGAGACAAAAAAGTTGCAAAACTAGCGCCGGTAGGCATACCTGAGGGGAAAATCGGGCGGTCTTTGCGGCGATGAGACGTTCCCTGAGATATTGGATGCGCTTCTGTGCGAAGAGGAGGGCGTCCTGTGGTTGCGTTGGTGTCCACCACCCGATCGCGACTCCTTTTTCTGGTCCACAG